AGAATCCAATGAGCCTCCTCGCCAGTCTGCCTCTTTTAAAGTTCTGCAGGAGATCCTGGAAACTGGTATAATCTCATACAAACCTTGTATACCATACTACATTGTGTCTGAATTGCACACAGGTCACCCAGCAGGCCTTAGCTTCTGTTGACAAAATGGGCGTCTGTGATTCTGGTCATTCATAATCATCAGTTTCTAAAGCCTTGCCTGTGACTACAGCTGTGAAACACATTCTGTTTCAGATTTTTGGGCTTATAAAAGAAAGCCTTAGCATTACATGATGGATCTCTGTTTCTTTGCGTCAGGTGATACAGATAAACCCTCAGGCTTCAGAAGTGTCAAAGCCCCCACCACAAAAGTTGGAGCCTCCGTTGGGAATCCTGAAAATCTCTCTCTTTGTGACAAATGTGGTTCAGGGATTGTGTAAGTTTCAATTTTTTGCTTTATCTTTATAGGAGAAGTTTTAATGAAATCCATCTTAGAACAGTTGCATGTACTTTGTTGTATCGTGCCGTTGTGGTGTTATGCTAGTGTTGCCATCTAGTGGAACATTTTGGAACTCAATTTCTTTATAATACCTGTGGAGTTTGCTCTGTTAATTATTTCGTTATAATTGTTGGATTTTTTGCAAACATGTTTTCCTAAACAACCTTTTTCTCTTTATTTGGTTATAAAGAGGATTGATGGTCAAAGTTCGAGATAAGTTTCGCCACCCAGAATGCTTCGTCTGCACAGACTGCGGGATCAATCTTAAGCAAAAAGGACACTTTTTTGTCGAGGACAAAATTTACTGCGAGAAACACGCACGTGAACACGTCACTCCTCCAGAGGGTTATGATGTTGTCACTGTTTTTCCAAAGTAGAATGTTTCCCACGTTCTACTTTAAAACTGCACCTTCCCTTATGTGGGGAATTCCTTTGGAAATCTGTAACACTTTATTTGGATAGTCTTTCAGTGAGGCTGCTTTGTTGCCAATATGAATGTTTGTAACAGCTCTTACATACTCAGACAGATGTGCATGGATATAAATAGACTTTGGCAACAGTAATCAGGAAATTGTGATTAGACATCACCTGAATATGTGAATATAGTCTATCCAGATTAAGTGCTATTGTTATCATACATTCCAATGTCCTTGTCATTCCACACATTTATCTCATTGTATAAAAGGCTCGTATTATTGGTGCTAGGGTATCTTAAGACCACTTATTGCATTTGCAGATTTTCAAGAAATGTTTTTCATCAACTGATCATTGAAATTATGTAATCATGGTTGTATTCCCCATGCACACCAGTATGTAAAAATCTATTCTATGTATGTACATTGTCTTTTGGATTCTCCATATTTTTGTATGAAAATAAC